TGTTCGCCTTCTACCTTCATCACCACCTCCACCTGTGGCTGCTGCTCTGTCCCCTGCTCAGACATTTTCCCAGTTCAAAACAAAGACCAATAATAAAAAATAGCAACCTGAGCTGCAGCGATAAACAGATTCCTGCAGACACACTAGAATCGCTGCAACACTCAGACAGTGGCGTAGGTGGGTGAATAGGCAATCAGCGGGTTGGGTTAGAAGGGTGTCTCTGGGGTCAGGTGTCAGACAGACTGTAAGTCCTGTAAAATCAATCACACGATTTCCTTTTACTGACCCTGGACCACATTGGAGTTAGTAAACACACTCCACTACTTTTCCAGAGACCCGCTAGAATTCCAGAGCCCACTAAAAAGCAAGTGTCATCAGTGAGAATGACCGAAAATGGTTAGTACAGACAAAAGAGGTCAATCACAACAAGCAATGCAGACAGTTACCCTGTAACCTGACTCAAACTCAATTTTAGACCCTGATGACTCTGGCGGCTATACCCTAGAGTATGGCGAAGTACAGTATTCACTGAATCCAGTGAAATACTGCGAATCCAACTCTGCGATTCTACAGTATAGTCTATTATTGGATTGCGATTCACTGGGGACTGTCATAACTGAATTCTGATGGACAAAATTGAAGTTATGACTGACCCTAGGTAGCACAGGCTAAAAATAGACTCAGCGCAAAACAACAATTCACAGTATCACTACCTTTCCAGTACAGAATTCACTGTTTGAGCATCCCAGATCAATCGCAATGCAGTATAGCAGTCACAGAACCAATTTGGACCAGAAAGAGTCACCAGAGGGAGAGAAATGAGCAGAGAGAGGTAGGGGAGAGATGGCTACGGTTGTCTTGCAGTCTGCGATTTTCACATCCAGTCACTGTCAGACAGATAGACCATTACAATTCACTAAACTAACCCTATCTGGATCGCAATACAGGTAGGCGCATCGAACGGACTCACTTTCTGAGAATCTTGCAGGTAATGATGGAGATCTGGCTATGGCTGATGATACCCTGGTCTCGCCAATTTCTTCCAGATATTCCTCCTAATAATCCCACGCACAGAACCTCCTCAAATTCGTTGATCCTCCGCAGGATCCTGTAGCGCTGCACTCCCTCAACTCAGATACCCTGTATCTGGTCCTGTGGTGCCCAGTATGCCAACTTCGAAATATCTTGCCACAGTGCCATCGATGCTAAAAATAGCCCCAGATGGGGTTATTTCTTCAGGAGATTGACACAGACACAGACTGTCAATCTCTATCAGCGCTACCCAGGGATGATGCCGCTCAGGGTTCCCTGATGTCCTCAGGGGTAATTCGCCACTCTGGGGTAATTCGCAGTATCACCCTCAGGGTTGGCTATGGCGAATTAGCCCTGTACTCGCCACTTCTTGACAAGCGCCCTGACAGGCTCAGTGCGCTTGCTCAGTGCAACCACTGAACACTTGAATCCACCGCTGAAAGTCTTCTTCCCTGCTGACTCAGTACTGGGGAAGATGAATCACCATGAAACTCTCGCCAGTATATCGCCAAATGAAGAAGATGCCTCAGTACGCTCAACCCTCAGTGTTCCAATTCCAATCCCGCTCCGATACCAACTGTTATGAACTTGGTTGTCTGACGAATTTTATCGCCACTCACACACAGACAATCTCACACATGCCCATACATGCATAAGAGAAGGGGAGAGAGGAGACAGAGTCCAAACCGCACACAAGTGAAAATAAGCAGCGGAAGACAATCATGCACAGATGGGGAGAAGACACACAGTGTTTCTCACTCTCTGACACAACTCCCAACAACCAATCACAAGAAAGAACCTGCGAAGATCACAATTGGAATTCACACTGATGATGAGCCACTCAAACAATTATCGTAACAGAGTTTGTTCCCGTATCTCGCCACTCTCAGAACTCACACCCCACTCTCTATCCCACACCCAGTTAGTAGCGCCACATCAGAACAGCCTCCCAGAGGCCAGCACCAACCACCCTGATGAAGAACAGGTCCTGCGATGAAGTCTTCAATGCCGATGGACAACTCTGATGAAGGAACAGGCAGCTATGGCTGCCACCACCCACGAACACACACTGTAGAGCCTCGATACAGCCCGGCCATACGCAGGTACCCCCAAGGGTAGGTGCGCTGAGGATGCCCCAGTTCTGGCAAACTCAGAGAGGGCCGGCTATGGCTGCTGTCACGGTGCGTCTGAGGATGCCACCTGCAGACTGTCACCGCCACCAACTTGCTTGGCTTCTCCAACGCTGCTTCGCGAGAAATGAATTGCCAAAAGTCCTGAACCGATGGGCCTAACCTATCTATAGACTACCTAGACCTAGACCGGACTGACTGACCGACTGGTACCGTTGCTGTTTCGGCCTCTCGGCCTCTACCGGACCCGGCTATAGGCTATAGGACCGTCTAGCAGTATAGGCCGCTTAGGGCCTGTCTGTCCTAGGGGTAGCCCGGGCCTGCTATAGGCAGTTAGGGTAGTGGTAGGAATTCGCGTTAGTACTGGGCCCGTATTTTCCCAGATTTACAGATATGTCCCTCACGAATTTCCTCACAGGCGGGTCTCTCGGTTAGCCCTCAGCCAAATAAAATTACGAATCTAACCCTACCGGTTAGTGTACAGCCTCGCAGTCAATCTCGGCAGTAGAATTCAGCAAGTCATTGCACGTATCTAGGTCTTGACTAGCTTACTCCTCTCAGCTACTCGGCTGCTGGATCAGATTTAAGTCCTGAAGTTGCTGGCCAGACTCATTAACTGTCGATTTTGCTGAGTAGATAAAACCTTAGGAGTAAGGATTTTTTTTTTTTTTTTTTTTTTTTTTTTTTTTTTTTTTTTTTTTTTTTTTTTAATAATACAGAACCTTAGGGTTCCGGCTCCTTTTCCGTTCTGGGGAGCATCAGTCCGGTTACTCTTCCACCGGCAAGTCAAAAGAAAATACGTATTGGACACACACACGCTCTTCCTCTTTAAGGTAGGAAAGCCCGAGGGACGGCATTGATTACTTCTCTCTGGAAGGATGTACCACTCCTCAACCCTGCCTAAGTTAGCCTATTTTCTTTTATGTTGAGTCGAAGACCTCAGAGCTGTGGACCCTAACGGCTTGCTTCAGGGGGCCCTCTTCTAACCTGTTCCTCTCAGTACTCTGACTGCCAGATTCTCATTGCGCGCAGGAACTGTAGAGTTGATCCTCCTCAAAGGGTTTTGATAAGCCCTAAATCCTTTTCGGGACTAGTTGCTAATGCCGACTGACGAGCAGAGGTTCTAACTTCTCATTATTATCCCTCTTCTTCTACCAGGTGTACCTGATTCTAAAACCAAAACTTGCTAATTTAACTGACCAGCTAATCTTTACTTGATATCTTTTTATGGCCTGTATCCCGTATCCTACTTTATTCTTGCATTGACTGGTTAAGTGAGTCTTTTGGGCACTAATTGCGGAGTAGGACAGATATTGTTTTAAATGGTTTGGGCAGAGACTGTGTGGGGTAGGTCTAGGTTGTGGGGTTGGTGGATGATGTGTTCGGATTTGCGGCGACTTGGCCGAGGGGTTATGGGTTGGGATCGGGGTGGCTTGTTTGGGGGTGGTCGGCCTATTTGCGTGTGGTCGGGGAATGAAAGATATGAGGAGATATGAGGGTTTTAGGGGGAACAAAGATGTGTAACACGTTATGTTGGAGATGCGGCCTGTGTGGGTTTGCTGTTGGGTGTGCAGTCTGTTAGTAAAGGTCTCTACTGTGTTGTCATTGGTGGCTGAGGCTTGCGTAGAGGCTGTTTCGTCTAGTTGGTGGCGGTTCGGAGACGTTTGTGATCGTTGTCTGTCTTTGGTGTGGTTACTGGTTGTAGCTTAGATGGAATTGATCTGGATGCTCACTGAGTCTGGTGTGCTAATAGATGGTCTTGAGTCTGCTCTATTGTTTTGTGTTATGTCGTTCCACATTGTAAAGATTAGGCTCTGGCCTTTGACAATTGCTATTTTGCCCTTGGCGAGGTAGTTGTCCTCAAATTTGGATTGGAGATCGTTGGCTTTGAGTACATTCGCCTTCATTTTCCTCTTGACTCTGCGCCATGGACCCAGTATTCTGTTTCTACCTGTAACATGAGGATACTCCATGCTTCCTGCACGTGCATTGGTTGTTTTTCTACCGTTTCTCGACATCTTTTTCTCCATATGGCCCATAGTGCTGGCTTACGCAGGATTTGGAATAGGTTGATTTGCAAAGGTGGCCAATCGTCTGGTGTT